TGGATTTTACAAGGAAGTGCATAGGTGGGCTTAGCAGAAGATCCAGAAGCCTGGCAATGCAAAGAATCTTTGTCAGTACATACCTACCTTGAAAACCAACCCTGATGGTGAGGCTAACAACATTTGTTGAGCCCATTCTTTGTATCTGGCACCATTCGGAGTGTGTCATGTGCGTTCTCTCATTTAATCTCGACAATAATCTTCAGAGGCAGGTATTATGCTTATTTCTATTTTCCAGATGAGGGAATAGGTTGAGAAGAGGAGCCATTTGCCCGCGGTTTCACAGTGAGTGAGGATAAGGTAAGCCAAGGTTTCCATCCTTCCCCCCAAAATATCTGAATCTGAAATTCAGGATGTTAAACACCATGCTTTCTGAGACTTAATGTATTAGTATGAGGAAATCTTAGGGGTGGAGGGTCACGGACAGTCCAGTTATTCAGCCAAACACCCCTATGACTAGCACTAAGCCTAATGCAGGGTGGACTTTGAATAAATGTTTATTAAATTAATAAATGAAGGAATATTGTCACTGGAAGACTAGCCTGAGCAACATAGCGAGACCCCATCTCTACAGAAAAAAAAAATTAGGTAAGCTCAGTTGCACGAGTCTGTATTCCCAGCTACTGGGGAAGCTGAGGCAGAAAGATGGCTTGAGCTCAGGGGTTCAAGGCTTCAGTGAGCTATGATTGTATCACTGCACTCCAGCCTGGACAACAGAGTCAGATTCTGTCTACGAAAAAAAAGGGTGTAACTTGGCCAGGCGCAGTGGCTCACACCTGTAATGTCAGCACTTTGGAAGGCTGAGCCAGCCGGATCACCTGAGATCAGGAGTTCCAGACAAGTCTGGCCAACATGGTGTAAACCCAACTCCACTAAATATACAAAACATTAGCCAGGCATGGTGGCACACACCTGTAATCCCAGCTACTCGGAAGGCTGAGGCAGGAGAATTGCTTGAACCTGGGAGGTAGAGGTTGCAGTGAGCTGAGATCATGCCATTGCACTCCAGCCTGGGAAATATGAGAGAAACTTTGTCTCAAAAAAATAAAAAATATAAATAAAATTTTTAAAAAGGTATAACTTAATGCAGTGAAAATCACCTCTGGTATGAACAATCTGCAAGCCTTTATTTTATTTTATTTTATTTTGAGGTGGAGTTTCGCTCTTGTTACCCAGGCTGGAGTGCAATGGCGCGATCTCGGCTCACCGCAACCTCCACCTCCTGGGATCGGGCAATTACTCCTGCCTCAGCCTCCTGAGTAGCTGGGATTACAGACATGCGCCACCATGCCCAGTTAATTTTTTGTATTTTTACTAGAGACGGGGTTTCACCATGTTGACCAGGATGGTCTCGATCTCTTGACCTCGTGATCCACCCACATCGGCCTCCCAAAGTTCTGGGATTACAGGCTTGAGCCACTGCACCCAGCCTGTTCTGCAAGTTTTGATGAACGGGGTTTTTTTTTTTTGAGATGGAGTCTCACTCCAGGCTGGAGTGCAGTGGTGAGATCTCAGTTTACTGCAACCTCTGCCTCCCAGATTCAAGTGCTTCTCCTGCCTCAGCCTTCTAAGTAACTGGGACTACAGGTGCACACCACCACTCCTGGCTAATTTGGTAATTTTAGTAGAGACGGGGTTCACCATATTGGTCAGGCTGGTTTCAAACTCCTTACCTCATAATTCACCCACCTCGGCCTCCCAAAGTGCTGGGATTACAGGCATGAACCACCACGCTGGGCAACATTTTTAGTTTTATTAATAAAATATGTTTTCTTAATAACATTTAACAATTTTATTAATTGGGTAACCATTCCCATAAACAAGGTATGGAACGATTCTATCGTGCCCCACATTTCCCCATGCCTCTTCATCGTAAATCTCTGCCCACCAATCCCCTGGCAACCACTGATCTTTTTTCTGTCCTTAACAGTTTTGCCTTTGCAGAAATGCCACAGAGAGGGAGTCCTGCAGTCTCTAGATGTTTGAGTCTGGCATCTTTCACTTTGCTTAATGTGTTTGAGGGTCACCCATGTTGCTGAGTGTATCCACTGTTCATTGCTTTTTATTCCTGAGTACTGTTTGCTTATTCCTGAGTAGTGTTTATTCCTGAGTAGTGTACCACGTTGTACCGTATGCACTTGGGGAGTATTTGGGTTGTTGCCAGGTTTGGGTTATTCCAAATAAAACTGCTCTAAATATTTCTGTTCAGGGTCGGGCGAGGTGGCTCATGCCTGTAATCCCAACACTTTGGGAGGCCAAGGCGGGTGGATCACCTGAGGTCAGGGGTTTAAGACCAACCTGGTCAACATGGTGAAACCCTGTCTCTACTAAAAATACAAAAATTAGCCTGGCATGGTGGTGGACACCTGTTATCCCAGCTACTCAGGAGGCTGAGGCAGGAGAATCACTTGAACCCGGGAGGTGGAGATTGCAGTGAGCTAAGATCACGCCACTGCTCTCCATCTTGGTGACAGAGTGAGACTCCGTCTCAAAAAAAAAAATTTTTAAATTAAAAAAATAAAAACTTCTGTACACGTTTTTTTCCTTTTTTTTTTTTTTTTGAGACTATCACCTAGGCTGGAGTGCAGTGGTGCGATCTCAGCTCACTGCAACCTACCTCCCAGGTTTGTGATTCCCGTGCCTCAGCCTCCCGCATAGCTGTGATTACAGGCACCCACCACCATGCCCAGCTAATTTTGTTTTGTATTCTTACTACAAACAGGGTTTTGCCGCATTGGCCAGAACTCCTGACCTCGTGATCCACCTGCCTTGGCCTCCCGAAGTGCTGGATTACAGGCATGAGCCACCTCGCCCAGCCTACCCATTTTAAGAGATGTGTAGAAGTATCTCATTCTAATTTTAATTTGTATTTCTTTCTCACATTCTCTCTCTCTCTCTTTTTTTTTTTTTTTTCCACAGAGTCTCACTCTGTTGCCCAGGCTGAAGCGCATTGGTGCAATCCTGGCTTACTGGGATTCAAGGCAGCCTTGAATCCCTGGGCTCAAGCAATCCTCCAGCCTCAGCTTCCCAAGTAGCTGGGTTCACGGGCACCTACCACCACACCCAGCTCTATTTCTCTAATAATGTTGAGCATTGTTTCATGTGCTGAGTTGCTATTTGTATATCTTCTTTGGTGAGGTGTATTACTATTCAAACCTTTTGCCCATTTTTTAAAAATTTCATTCTCTCATTGTTGAATTTTGGAAGTTCTTTATTTGGGATGCAAGTTCTTTGGATCTATGCTTTGCATATATTTTCTCCCAGACTATCGTTTGTCTTTTCATACATTCTTTTAACAGTGTCTTTTAAATAGCAGAAGTTCTTAATTTTGATGAAGTCCAGTTTATCAGTCGTTTCTTTTATGAACTATGTTCTTTGTGTTGTATCTAAGAACTCTGCTTAACCTAAGGTCACAAATATTTTCTCTTGTGCATGATTCTAAAAGTTTTATATAGTCATAGTAGCCCCCTTATAAGTTTGCTGGATTAAATGCAGAAATGTATGTCAAGCCCTGGCCAGGTTCGGTGGCTCACACCTGTAATTCTAGCACTTTGGGAGGCCGAGGTGGGCACATCACGAGGTCAGGAGTTTGAGACCAGCTGACCAACATGGAGAAACCCCATCTCTACTAAAAATACAAAATTAGCCATGCGTGATGGCACGTGCCTGTAATCCCAGCTACTTGGGAGGCTGAGGCAGGAGAATTGCTTAAACGTGGGAGACAGAGGTTGCAGTGAGCCAAAATCACGCCATTTCACTCCAGCCTGAGCAACAAGAGCAAAACTCCTTCTCAAAAAAAAAAAGAAGAAAAGAAAGAAAGAAATGTATGTAAAGCCCTTAGCACAAGGCCTGGTAAAGACTAAGCAATCAACTGAGCCTAAGATGGACATTTGCCCCTGTAATGTTTATCAGGGGCACCCTCAGGCCCAGCGCACATTTCCTCCGCACAGAAGTTGTGCGCTGTCATCACGGAATGGCAGGATACCAGAGAAGCAAAAGCCTCCACACATACCTCATCCAACCTGCTCCTGGAACCAGTGCAGGTAACTACAGACACAGAGAGGCTGTAGAGGTACAGGGCAGCAGGAGACCCAGCCCTGGAAGGTGGCCCTTCCACTGCAGGGAGCACTCCTCCATCCAGCCGCCTTTCCATGAAACCTGGAGCTCTAGCCCAAGCTGTGATGGGTGATGGAGACTAGGCTCTATTTAATGAGCACCTACTGTATGCCAGGCCCTTGGGTAAGGAATTGAATAAATTAGACAACACTTGGGTGCTCAGAGCTCACAGACAAGCAGAGCAAGGGCCCACAAACAAACGACTGCGTAATTAGTTGCTGGATTCAGGAAAGGGACAACGTCCTGGGGTGGGAGGTAATGGGGAAGAGGAACTCTCAGCTGCCGCCTCTGTGCCAGGCCCCTCCAGGCTGGGGGGTGGGATGGTGAGCAGGCACAGGGACACACATGACGTCATCGTAAGAGCGCGGGGGGAAAGGTAGTCCTGAGAGGTGGGGGCTGCTCTGGAGGGCTCTAAGAGAGGGTCATTCACTCGTGGTTCATTCATTCATTCGAGAAATATTCATGCGGCGTATACTGTGTACCAAGCACCCTCTAAGGAGGACGAACACGGCTTCTGCCCTCTCATTATATTTGGGGCCGTCAAAGCGACAGGAAACAAACAAATCAAGCATGAAGATGGTTTCAGCAGAGCCGATGGTTTGGAGGGGCTGCGACCGGGAAAGGGGACCGGGGATCCCAGACAGGGAACCGGGGATGAGGGGCAGGGACACGGCCCGCACTTGCTGCACACGCACCGCCCTCCCCCTACACTTTGCAAAGAGGTCACCGCACTGGCGAAGAGCGCGCCCTCCGCCCCGGGCCGCAGCACGCGCGTCCCCGCGCCCGAGGTCGCGCGCCGCCCTGCACCCCGCCCGCGCCCCGAGAGCTGCGCCCGGCGCGCACAACGCCCCCTCGCGGGAGCCCTGGGCCGCCGGCCGCGCGCGCAGGGGAGGGGGCGGGGGCGCCGCGCACGCGCATTGGTCGGCGGCGCGCGCCGAGCGGGGGGCACCGCGCGGGTGCAGCCACGATGGAAGGGGGTGCGTACGGAGCTGGCAAAGCCGGGGGCGCCTTCGACCCCTACACCCTGGTCCGACAGCCGCACACCATCTTGCGCGTCGTGTCTTGGGTAAGGACCGGCCGGCGGCTCCGCCAGGCCGGGGTGGAGGTGTGGGCAAGGGCGACACGCCCGGACGGACCCCGACCCCATCGGGCCCCTGGCGTTGGCGCGGCAACGGGCGAGGAGCTGTCCTGCCCCTGGGGCCCGCTGCCGCCGCTCCTCCTGCGGGGGCTCCGGGCGGGTGGAGGCCCTGGCGCTCGCGGAGGGCGCCTCTGCCGCTCCCGGAGCCCTGGTTTCCTGGGGCCCCCGGTTCGTGCGCCCCACTTCCCGCCCGGATCGCTGTGACCTCCAGGCCGCGGCTGTGCAGCTAGAGGCTCGGGTTGTGTGCTGCCGCCGCGGCGGACTCCAGACCGAGGGGACGGAGCCGGGGTTTAAGGTGGCCTTTTGGGGTGGGTGGATCAGGGCGTAGACCGTCTCGCTGGGGTGCCTGCCGCGCCTGCGATGGACGTTGGAGGAGGAGAGGGCAGGGAACCGGGTTCGTGTTGCTTAGCCCGGCCTGTGTGGAGCTGAGTCGGGAGCCGGATGCCTCTCTTCCACCCAGGAACTGCCTCTCCTTCTCGGCGTGACCTTGGTCTAGGAACCACCAAGGAAATGTTCTCGAGAAATGAGGACTTCAATTCCGAGGTGGGGAGTGTCATCTCGTCTATCACGCCTCAGTTTCCCAATTTATAGACAAGGTGGGAGGAGCCTTCTTGAGGCCCCCCTTGGGCTCTGACATTTCATTAACCCGTAACACCCCTCCCACTCAGTATACACCTGGATGCCCACCGCAGGTGTCTGGGAGAAAGGTCTCCTCTGACAGTGAAGAAGCCAGGGTGTCCTCCAGCCTAGCTGGGGGACAGGGTCCCCAGTGCAAAGGGCTGAGTGGGGCTCATGTTCAGACTGGTGGGGGGGGATTGGACAGAGACAGTGAGCACAGAGGGAGGAGTTCAGGTGCCTTGAGTGGCACCCCATGGAAAGCGTGCCTGCTGGGGTCTGGAGAGGGGGTGCCCAGGGCTCCCTGGGGTTGGCTGGCTGTAACCTAGATACCCCCACCCGAGGTTCTGGCCTCTGCAGGTCTAGGGCCCATTCCTGGTGGGCTCTGACTAGAAGGGCTTGGATTGGCAATGCTGGGCAGGGCACTGTCAGGTACCCCAGGGGCTACATCCAAGGCCAGCTGCGACCTCAGCATGTTCAAGCTTCCTCCTTTCCTCGGTTTTCAAGGTCTGGTTGGTAGGATGGCTTGGGTATGTATCCCCAGCCTGCCAAGAATGACCCCATTTGAAGCCTTTTCTTCTCAAATGCTGTCAGATGGGAGCCCTTTGTGGGCAGGAAAGCCCAATTCCTGACACCACCTTCCCCAGTGCCTGCACAGAGCCTGGCACCCCAGCACATCTGTAAGTGTTTGTGGCTCTGAATTCATTTATCTGTCCCAGTCTCCTGCTCCCCAGATGCCCTGACAGGCTCTTGACAAAGGTGGGAGCCCTGGGGGGCACCTGCCAGATCAGGTGGGCAAGGTGTGTTCACTGCTCCAGTCTGCCCACCCCTGGGGCTCTGGTCTGGAAGGGCCAAGCCACTGGCTTTGTGAGGGGGTGTGGGCATTCTGTCTGCTTGGGTCATTTCTGCCAGTGATGGTTTCATTTAGTTTATTGACTCTTTTGGGCTCTAAGGGAAGGCAGCATGACTCAGAAGCAGGCCTTGTTCTCAGGGAGCCCACAGTCCCCCTGGGGAGTAAGCCAGGTGCCACTAGGCAGAAGCCACAAGAGCCAGGAGAGGCGTCTCCCTGCTGTGGAATCAAGCTCCATTGAGAAGGTGGTGTCAGATTGGGGCTGGTGGGATGAGGGTTTACACATGTGCACATCCAGGGGCGAGGATGGGAAAGAGGAGGATCAGCCCCTCTGAGCACCCACGGGGTGCAGGACCACACACAGCCACCCAGCTGGCTCCCCAACACTAGAGGAAACTGAGGTTCAGGGAGGCCAAGTGCCTGGCCCAAGGTCACTGAGCATGTAAGTGGCAGAAGAGCATTTGAGCCCAGGCCTTCCTGTCTCCAAAGCATAGTGCTCCCCCCGGGGGCAGGGAAGAGTCTGGAATCGTGGAATGTCAGGATTGGAAAGGACACAAAGGTCACCTGGGCCAACCAATGTTCAGTCAACTGCACGGCCTCCAGCCCCGCTCACACAGGTGGATACGAGGTGCTCACTACCTTTGCTGGACCAAGAGGTGTCTGATACAGGCTGATTAACACCTTCAAAAACAGCTTTTTTTTTTTTTTCCCCTGATCAAAGTAATACCTGCCAGTCATTGGAAAGTATAAAAATCACGTGTGGTCGTCGCGCAGTAGGAACCGACTTACCACCACCGAAATGGTGAAGATGGTAAATTTGATGCGACGTGTATTTTACCACAACAGAAAAAGTTTGGTGGGGAGTGGTGATCATGTGATACCACCGCATGATAGGGAGGGCTGCAGTGAACACGGGGCTGTGTCTCCTTCTGGTCTTTTCAAAACTGTGTGGCGTGCTGAGCCGTTTTAACACATCAGGAGCTGCGGGGGATGCAGCTGGTGCCTGCTCTTGGCCCTCACACCGCAGGGCAGAGCGAGTGAAGCCTGAGCTCCAGGGCTGGGGTGACCCATTTATCCTCGTGTGCCGGAATTGCCTGTCTTTAGCATCCCGAGAAGCCCTCAGTCCAGACAAACAGGGACAATTGATTACCCAGACCCCTGCCACAGCCCTGGAGGAGCCCTACCAGGATGTGCACGTGGACCTGTTATTTTTTTTTTTTAATTCTTCTTTTTTTGAGACAGAGTCTTGCCCTGTTGCCCAGGCTGGAGTGCAGTGGCACGATCTCAGCTCACTGCAACCTAATTCTGCCTCCTGGGTTCAAGCAGCTCTCCTGCCTTGGCCTCCCGAGTAGCTGGCACTGTAGGCACACACCACCACACCCAGTTAATTTTTGTAGTTTTAGTAGAGATGGGGCTCCATCATGTTGGGCAGGTTGGTCTCAAACTCCTGACCTCAGTTGAACCGCCTGCCTCAGCCTCCCAAAGTGCTGGGGTTACGGGCGTGAGCCACTACGCCTGGCCTGGACCTGTGTTTTTGTAAAATTTGTAAAAGAAATTTTTTTTTCTGTTGCTTTTCCAAAAGAGGGCCCCCAAACCACTTCAGGCCCTCACCAACCTGGACCCACCCTGAGTCCCTACGTCAGCCTGCACAGAAGCAGGACCTCCAAGACCTGGCTTGTTTCTTTTTTATTTTTTTAGAAACAGGATCTTGCTGTGTTGCCCAGGCTGGTCTCAGACCCCTGGGCTCAAGTGATCCTCCCACCTACGCCTTCTGAGTAGCCACTGCATCCAGAAGCCAAAGCTTCTCTCCCGACTAAGGCTTTCTCACCTCTTGGTGGCATCGCCCCAGTGACAGATCAGCTGCCACTCCTGGCACCCCCCAGGCCACAGCTGGGACACCTGCAGCAAGTGTCCCCTCCTCACCCTCTGTGCCTCAGTCTTCCCACCCACACTGGGCTAGGCTGGGTCAGAGGTGCCCGATCTGCTGTGTGGTGATTGCCGCCTGTCAGTGACTCATTTCTTTGTTTAAAGCCAGATGGGTAAAAAAAGCAGTTACAGCAAGGAGCTAAATTGATTTAATAGAAAGGACCACCTTTTATCTGGAGTTTATGTTCTTTTCTGCAGAGGGCTGAAATGGACGATAGCGAATGAATATCAGTGCTGGTAAATGAGGTTTTTTAAATTCTCCACCTTAACGAAATGAAATTGATGAAATGTTTGAAATGCTGCATTTTCAAGGTTCACTTTTTAAGGGCTTTGGCTGTAACACCATATGGTTTTGTAAGTGGGTGGGTATCTTTCCCCCCATTTTACAGATGACAAAAGGAAGGCTCAGCCTGAGGAAGTGGCTCGTGCTAGCTCAAGGCCTTGGTTTGAACCTGACCTGCAGGGCTCCGGGCTCTGTGTACTCCCGGTGGCTTCCCTGCCTGGATCTCCGTGGCACCAAGGGGCAGCCTGAGGGGGGCAACTTTACATGCTGGTTTTATCCAGCCCCCACCTCACCCCACATCATCCAAAGTGAACACTTGTAAAAAAGCCAAACTTGGCCGAGTGCAATGGCTCACCCCGGTAATCCCAACGCTTTGGGAGGCCAAGGCGGGTACATCACTTGAGGTCAGGAGTTCAAGACCAGCCTGCCCAACATGGTGAAATCCATCTCTACTAAAATACAAAAATTAGCTGGGCATGATGGCGCACACCTGTTATCCCAGCTACTCAGGAGGCTGAGACAGGAGAATCACCTGAACCCAGGAAGTGGAGGTTGCAGTGAGCCAAGATCGCGCCACTGCACTCCAGCCTGGGCGACAAGACTGAAACTCCATCTCAAATGAAAAAATAAATTTAAAAAGCTGAACTTTTTTTGTAAACGAAGCAGCTTCAAGATAAGACCCTTTGTGTCCCCCAGCCAGCTTGCAGTGTGCCAGCCATGGGGCCACAGGAAAATTCAGGGACCAGCGATTTTGGGGGACGGGGGTCCAGGGTAGAGATAGAACCTCTGGCCAGCTCTGATGTTCATTTGTTCATCCCACAAGTCCCCTGCTCAGTGCCACCCCAAGGTGACGAGAACAGGATTGAATGTGAAGCACTGTCCCAGAGGCTCGGGTCACTACAAGGAGGAAATCCCAAGGGGCATTGAGGGAGAGGCTTGGAGGACACACTCACAAGCTGGACTTCCTCTGAGGGCAGTGGGAAGCTGGAGAGAGGGGCTGTGAGCCAGTCAAGGGGGGTTTCGGAAGCCTGGTTTGGAGAGGGCTCTGTGGCTGGAGATGTGTGGTCACGTCCAGCCTGTCCTCCCCCAGTACCGGCACAGCCCCGTCACCTAGACAGGAAGGTGGGCCACAGCCCTGTTTGGCATTTATTGCTGAGCACCCTGGAGTCTTCCTCGCCTCTTCACCTCCTGTGGCCGGCTCCTCAGCTGCTTCTTCGCTCTCAGGTCTAGGCCAGGGTCAGCTGCAAGGAGAGCCCCGGGAGGTGATAGATTTCTGCTGTGTCTTAGGACCTTCCTCATGTCAAGGGACAGCCTGGGGATGGCCTAGAGAGCCTGAGAAAGCCTGGGGCATCAGGAACAAGGCCATCAGAGCAGGACCTTGGAAAATCCCAACCTCTTTCAGCTTCTGTCACGTCATCTATAACATGGGATTGGAGGGCCTGGGTTTGGGGAGGCCTCAAGGGCTTATGAAAATGCAAATTTTGGTCAGGTGAGGTGGCTCACACCTGTAATCGCAGCACTTAGGGAGGTGGAGGTGGGTGGATCACAAGGTCAGGAGAGAGAGACTATCCTGGCCAACATGGTGATACCCTGTCACTAAATATACAAAAAATTAGCCGAGTGTGGTGGTGCACACCTGTAGTCCCAGCTACTTAGGAGGCTGAGGCAGGAGAATTGCTTGAACCTGGGAGGCAGAGGTTGTAGTGAGCCAAGATTGCACGACTGCACTCCAGTCTGAGCGACCGAGCAAGACTACATCACAGAGCAAGACTCCATCTAAGAAAAATCGAAAACTCAAATTTTGGCCGGGGGCGGTGGCTCACACCTGTAATCCCAGCACTTTGGGAGGTGGAAGCAGGTGGATCACCTGGGGTCAGGAGTTCAAGACCAGCCTGGCCAACATGGTGAAAACCTGTCTCTACTAAAAATACAAAAAATTAGCCAGGCGTGGTGGAACGCGTGCCTGTAATCCCAGCTACTCAAGAGGCTGAGGCATGAGACTTGTTTAAGCCCGGGAGGTGGAGGTTTGCAGTAAGCCAAGATCGCAGCACTGCACTCCAGCCTGGGCTGAAAGAGCAAGACACTGTCTGAAAAAAAGAAAAAGAAAATGCAAGGGTTTTTGTTGTTGTTGTTTGTTTGTTTGTTTGTTTGAGACAGGGTCTCACTGTCACCCAAGCTGGAGTGCAGTACTGTGATCTTGGCTCACTGCAGCCTCTGCCCCCTGGGTTCAAGCGATTCTCCTGCCTCAACCTCCCCAGTAGCTGGGATTACAGGCATACGTGTGCGCCACCATGCCTGGTTAATTTTTGTGTTTTTAGTAGAGACGTGGTTTCACTATGTTGGCCAAGCTGGTCTCGAACTCCTGACCCCAAGTGATCCACCCGCCTTGGCCTCCCAAAGTGCTGAGATTACAGGCATGAGCCACCACACCCAGCCTGAATGCAAGTTTAAAAGGCCTGCCATACGGCTGCGGTAGTGGGTTTTGTTATCCCCTCCTCAGATGAGAAGCTGAGTCCCAGAGAGGTTAACTCTGGAGTTGCTGGGATCGGAACCCATGGCCCCTGCCCCAGGGAGTCCCCAGCCACAGTCCCACATGAGCAGCGCGTGCAAAGCTGTTGGGCAGGCCTAAGCCCCAGGGAGAAAAACAGAGGCTGGGAGAGGAAGGGAAAAGAGGAGGAGAAGCCAGGAGGAGGAGGGAGGGAGGAAGGGAGAGGCAGATGGCAGGGCTGTCGGAGGGAGCTACACTTGGCACCCAGACCGGAAGAACCAGCTGTCAGGTGGGAGGGGAGGCGGGGCAGGCGCTTGGGAGTGCCTTGGCCTGGAGACCCGAGGCTGTGTTCTGCACCCTCTTTGCCCGTGATTGGCTGTGTGACTTGAGCAAGAGGCCCATGCTTTCCTGGCCTCAGTTTCCCCATCTGTCAATGGGAAAAGGATAGTTGGATTGGTTTGGTGGTTCCTGACCTTTCCACCTTTGAAGAACCCCACTCTTGCCCCTAGTGGACTCCAGGTTGGGAACTTTGGATTGGTCAGTCTTTAAAGCTGTGATGTTGGGGCCGGGCGAGGTGGCTCACACCTGGAATCCCAGCACTTTGGGAGGCCAAGGCAGGCAGATCACTTGATGCCAGGAGTTTGAGGCCAGCCTGGCCAACATGGTAAAACCCTGTCTTTACTAAAAATACAAAAATTAGCCCGGCATGGTTATCCCAGCTACTCAGGAGGCTGAGGCAGGAGTCTTGCTTGAACCTGGGTGGCAGAGGTTGCAGTGAGCCAAGATCCCACTGCATTCCAGCCTGGGAAACAGTGTGAGACTGTTTCAAAAAAAAAAAAAGTGATGTTGGGAGCCATCCCCTCATGCTCTGTGGGGGCCTGCAGTGGAGGGGTCCTGGGCCCCAAGTTCATGCATGGGAGCAGAGCACACAGCGTCAGCTGGAGCCTGGAAGGACAGTCATGCCCTGTGTTTCTGGGAGAATCTTCCCTTCCAGGGATGGAGTTTTGCTCAGATCCTGCTGCTGGTGGGGCAGGGGCCAGGTGAAGGAGACACTGGGGAGGGGCAGCTCTGTAGATGGGATAGTCCCAAGCTGTCAGGCCCAGGCTGCAATCATGCAGGAACTTTAACATGCTGGGGCTCCTCCAGTACCCCAAAGTCCAGGGAGCAAGAGTTCCCGAGCCTTCAGCCCCCTCCCAGAATGTCCCTGACAGCTTTTGTAAATTGCTCTGTAACCTGGCCTCCTCTAGACCCTGTTTCCTGCAGCCTGCTCGGTGGGCGCCGCTTTATCCTGCAGACCCTCATTCTGCTGGGCCTGGAGGTGGGCAGGGTCCTTTTGGCTCCTGAGGCCGCTTCCAGGCCATTGTCAGCACTGGGTCACCCACTTGCCTTCATGATGAGCCAGCTCCAGGCCCCTTTGCCGGTTCCTCAGAGATGCTCTGTGTCAGCCCTCTCCAGCACTACTCGTGCTCCAGTCCTGGTCACTGGAGTGTCTACTTCTGTGGCCCTTCCAACACCCTGGCCTCCTCTCCCACCATGGTCTTGTGTGCCAGCCTCAGCTGGACCCTAGTGAGGCCTGGCCCTGCCTTCCCAGGGCCTTCCCTGCCTTCCCAGTAGCCTGTCGCACTCCCTGATCCTCCTTCCAGGTATCTCCTCCATCCCTCCTACCTTTCCACCTCCCTCTCCTGCCCCTGATCCTAGGCCCTTGGGCCTGAGATCTCTGAACCGCTGATCTTACCCCATGCACTAAGCCTCCCCCGTTGGTCCCACCTGTCCCCCTCCCCACCTCGGCTCCCAGTGGCCACATGCTGCAGCTCCAGCCCTTCTGCGCATCACACTAACCTGGCACAGCTCTGGTTAAATTCAGTCCTGGGCCTCTTCATACCTGCCCCCTTGTCCTAGACTATCTCCCTGTTCTGGCGGCCCAAGCCAGCCTGGCTGCAGCCACTAGAGCCTGTTTCTCTCACCTTCTCAAGGACACGCATCCATCAATTCTCTCTCCCTCTCTCCTCCACCCTCAATTTCACCCGGTCTACTCTCTTAACTAATCAGCTTGCAAATGTGCATGTTCCCCGTCTCAGGAAGATATTCCCTCACCCATTTCTCTGGTCCTTCAGAAGAGTCGTCACCATCTCCAGGGTTTCTTCTGCAGTCTCCCACACACGCTCCCCACGGGCTCTCTCCCCTGCTCGCCGTCCTCTCAGGCTCATTCCTGACCTTCACATTGCCCATCTCACGGCTGATGGTTATTGATGGATCTCTCAGCAGCATCTGGCAGCAGTGAGGGGTGTATGCATCCTCCCTTGAATCCAAACAGCCACAGAATGTGGACACCCTCACCCTGTTCATCGTCTCTTTAATATGCATGCTGAGCACAGGCGGATGAGGTGCCTGGTCTATAGGGAGGGCTTACAGTCTAGTGGAGGGAAAGGTGGTGGAAGCCAATTAAAATATGGAGGTGAGCACAGACCCCTAGAGAGGGACAAGCAGGTGACACTAGCGTTGAGATGAGAGCGGGGAGCCAGCCAGGCAGAGAAGGGGGAAGGAGGAACAGCATGGACAAAGGCTGAAAGGCCTGGCAGAGCAGAGATGAGGCCGTCACCCCTGCTGGGTGTACACTTGGGGGTGAGAACGGCATCTGTCATATCCCCAGGGCTAGGCTTGTTCCAGGCATCTCTTAAGGGTCCCACATATGGATGGATGAGGCGGCAACTGCACTGACCTGTCCTCCTCCTGTCCGCTGTTCTCATTCGAGTCCCCCCGCCTTTAGGGCCCTGCTCAAGTGTCACCTCCCCGTGAAGGCTTCCTGGATTCTCCCAAGCTTGCGCTCTTCTCCCTGCTTCCCTTGGACTCTGGGGGGATGGCAGACAGAAATTTCAAAAAATCTCTTTCCCCTTCTGGGCCTTTCTTCTCTAGAAGGTGAGGCAGGGCCTTCGACCAGATTATTTTCCTGATGACCGGCAATTTGCACAGGAGAGGAAACCACACATCAGGCAGGCAGGCACTGGCTGAGGAAAAGCAGACAGAACCAGACGGTGAACCCCGCCCTTCTCTCTCTCTTTTTTTTTTTGAAACAGAGTCTTACACTGTCACCCAGGCTGGAGTACAGTGGCATCATCCCAACTTACTGCAGCCTCTGCCTCCCAGGTTCAAGTGATTCTCCTGCCTCAGCCTCCTGAGTAGCCGGGATTACAGGCACCCACCACCACGCCCAGTTAATTTTTTTTTTCCATTTTTAGTAGATACGGGGTCTCACCACGTTGGCCAGGCTGGCCTTGAACTCCTGACCTTGAGTCATCTACCCACTTCTGCCTCCCTAAGTACTGGGATTATAGGCATGAGCCACCACATCCAGCCGACCGGGCCCTTCTTACCAATGAGAGACCTCACAGAGCCTCAGTAGCCACAGTTGTAAAATGGGTACAGCAGTGCCTACCCCAGGGGTCTTTGGAGGTATAAATGAGGCCTAGCCCTGAAGGGCTCTGCAGTGTTTGGTTGGCATTTACACCCCTTTCCAGGTGGTGATGTTTCCTCCCCACACCTGTACCCTGCCTCTGAAAGGGCAGAGGTGGCAAGACCTGGAGTGAAGAAGGCCCTGTGGGGAAGAGGGTTATGGGGATGGTGGTCCAGATGCTTCTGCTACTGAGAATGAGGCCCTGGGCCGGTCAAGCAAATCCTCTCTGGGTCTTCGTTTCTTCCTTTCTCTCTTTCTGTTTTTTTTAGAGACGGGGTCTCACTATGTTCCCCAGGCTGGTCTCAAACTTCTGGGTTCAAGTGATCCTCCTGCCTTGGCCTCCTGCATAGCTGGGATTACAGTCGTGAGCCACCATGCCCGACCAATTTCGCCCTTTTTCATGAGGCTCCAAGGCCCGTTTGAGGTTACCCAGCCAGATGAGAGGAACATGGGGCATTCTGGAAAGAGGGAAGGGCCTGCAGATCACCCAGGCCCCGCCTCAGCACGCTGGGGAGACAGGGGTCTGCTCGCCCGGGTCCTGCCCAGCAAAGCCCACTCCACCCCCACCGCTGATCAGGGACAGCTTGCAGAGATTACGCCTAATCCCCAGCAGGTCACTTCCAAGGCTGCACAACCCAGGGTGAGGCAGGGGTGAGGGAAGAGGCCCACAGCCCCACCTGCCCCACCCCCGCCTATGCCCCGGCAAGGCTCTTCAGGAAGCCAAGAGGCTGCCCTGCATCCATCATGTGTCCACGTGGCTTCAGCCGTTTTCCTCACATGACCGTGGGGTGAGACAAGGCGCCGTTCCTGAGAAGGGGGGCCCAGGGCAGCCTGACTTGTTTCTCAAAGCGTGACCACTCCTTTCTTCCCTCAGCCTTTCCCCAGGAGGCAGGATGGATGCCTGCACTGGGACATGGCCAGGAAGGCTGGGTTCGGCTGCTGGGGAGAGGACTCGGCAGCCTCCTTTCCAGGGAGTGAGCTCCCTGTGCACAGGGGTGTGCAAGCAAAGGTGCCAGCCAAGGATGCCAAGGAGGGGAACATTCTCCTGCCCCCCATGCTGCCTGGGCCTCTCTGACTGTCAGTCTTGCTGTCTACTCCCCTTGAAACCTTTCCTGATTCTCTCCCTGGGTCTGAGGAACAGACACACACCCAACAACTGAACCAACAAACAGGAAAGAAGTTATATAGTGATGTTACTGGGATAATTAATGGAGGCACTGGAAAGTACTTTAGATCTGGGAGTCTGGTCTGGAGGGCTTCTCCTGGGAGGTGTCTTTCGCGTTGAGATGTGGTTGTTGAGGAGCCAGCTGAGGGGAGATCTGAGAAATACAGGCATCCCAGGCAGAGGGAAGAGCCGGGTACAAAGGACCTGTGGCAGGAATGAACTCAGGAGGGGTTGGGAGGAGAGTATTGGGAGGAGTTTCAGAGGCAGGCGGGACCCCGGGGGTGGGGGAAGATCTTTGCCTGGGCAGGGAGCAGTGGGCGAGCTTCGATCCAAGAGTCTAGAGCTGGGGGGTGACATGACCTGGCTTGGGTTTAAAGGGATTGTCTGGCTGCTGTGAGGGGACAGAGTGTGGGGGTGCATGTGGACATATGGGCTGCTGTCATTGCCTAGAGAGTGGCGACCGTGGCCTGCCCCAGGGTGGAGGGACTTGACAGTTTTGGGAGGAGGTTGAAGCAGCAGGCCCGACTGTCGGACTGGATGGAGGGGTCGAGTGTGAGCCAGGGCTGGGCCCAGCAGCTGGTGCAAGGCTAAGGTCACTGGGGTGCTGAGAGAGCCTGGAGCCCTGGAGGCAGGACTTATGGACCAAGCAGGAGGACCTCCAGGGCCATTCTAGGGTGATGGACTTTATCTTCAGCCAATGGGGAGGAGGCCAGAGAGGAGGCTGTGGTGGTGTCAGGCACCTGGGCATCGACAGGGCAGGGACCAGGGCTCCCCTGAGCGGCGCAGCTCAGGAACAGATGTTCCTACGCAGGGCGAGGTAGACGGTTCCATTTGAGCTGGGAGGATAGAGTGCCATGGGCGCCAGATGTCATCTCTCTGCAGCTTATCTGGGGAAAGCCAGCATTTGTCTAACGACATTTAAAACCAGGCCTCTGGGAGGTTCCTGGCGGCGCAACAGTGATCTCAGCCACCCCCACGCTGGCCGGGCACAGCTGGCCCCGAGCCTTCATTAGCTGAAGCCCTGCAGTGGGTCCTGGGCACGCCCTGGTTGGTCTGTCTGTGGAGAGGAGATATTATCTGGTCCCTCACGTAAAGTGGGCCCAGGGCCTTTTGCACTACCGGACACAGGGCTCGGGACCAACAGGCGTCCCTCCCTGGTCTCATGCTGCCCTTAGAGTTTGGGATTCTGGAATTCGATCCTTCATGGGTAGGCAGCTGGACACAGGGGTCATTGGGGGGCTGGAGGAACAAGCCTGGATGTGAGGGCGGTTCCCCACTTACCTGCCGTGGGCCAGCCAGAGTGAGTCTTAGCCTCCCTGACTGTGAAATGGTCTAAGTATAAGACTGCTCTGTGAAGATGATTTTAGGCTTGTTTCTTCTTTGCAGATTTTGATGAGGATTAAATGAGATGATTTAGGTGCCTCCTTCCATTGGCACCAGGTCCCGAGGAGGCTGAGGGCTGGTTCCGGGTCTCAGGGTGGAGACAGACTTGTAAATAGGTCCCAGCCAGGAGTGCCCGAGGCTTGGGATGGGAAAGAGTGACTGGGAAGTGGGGTGTCCCTGAAGGTATCTGGGAGTCACCATATCCCAGCAGCATTCAGAGGGTGAGGAGGAGTTCGCTCCCATTGAAGATGAAGGTAGGAAGGCAGTGCAGAATTATCAGACAGCCTGAGGACACCAGCCACCCTCAGCCCTCTGGGGTGGCTACACAGGGCAGGGAAGGGGACAGATGAGGTAGGCCACAGAGGTCTTGGTGCTTCTGGGGTCTCTGTTTCTCTGTGTCTCTGAATCCAGTAGCCCAGGATCCTGAAATCCAAGATTCTGAGATTCCTTCTGATTTGTTTTTCTGAGTTTGACACAGATCTCCAGCAAGCACCATCTGGAATCCGTTTTTAAAAAAGACTCAGGATTGGATTTTAAAGAGGGCGGAAAAAAAACAAAGAGGCTTGGCAGGTTTACCTTGGTGCCTTTTTTTAGCGTTTGCTTTAGCTCGAAGGAAGCTTGTTTTTCCTCTGCTTGCCGGTGACCTGGGTCCTCCGTTGGCCATTGCCCTCCATCCTCTCCTGTTTCCAGGCCCCTCTCTCTGCCTCTGAAGACCCGTCTCCCTTCCCCACAGCAGATCCGCTTGTTGGAAGAATTTCTCCTGGTGTCTTGGCTGCTGTGGCCAGTGTGGAATTTCATTCTGGTTTCATTGCCGGTTCTCCAGTGGCTCCTTGCAGCTGCTCTGTGTGCCCCTTGCTGTCCCTGCAGATCTGGCCTTAGCAAGTGACCCAGGGATGCTGCCTGGCACAGGGCACCAGCTTTGGATCCAGCGAGACTCAGGTTCAAGCCTCAACTCCACTCCTGCCCAGCTGGGAGACTGGGCAGGTCCCTAGAAGCGGCTCCAAAATGGGAATAAGAATACTGAGCTGGTAGAGTCAGAACATACGTTTCCCAGCACATAGAAGGCCCTGGACAAGCCTTTGTTCCTCCTCCCGTGTACTATGAGTGGTTGAGGAGCAGAAACCTGAGGCTTGCGTTGTGTTTCGGGGGAGCTCCCACTTGGGGTTGGGGATGGCAGCTAAATGGAGAAGTTAAACCCTTATCTCAGAGGGCAATTGACAGTCCTGCAGGGGGTTCAGGAGACTGCAAGGGACTGGGTCTGTGTCCTCTGCGATGTTCCTTCCCTTCCCTGAGCCTCAGTTTCTCTACTCGTGGATCAGCAGGCTAGAGGGGATGTGGCATCTGCAGGGGATGGCTCTGCTCCCCATTATTATTGAGCCTAAATTCCATGACTCAGTCCCCAGCCTGCTGTTTTCTTTTTTCCTTCTTTTCTTCTTTTTTTGAGATGGAGCCACACTCTATCGAAGGCTGAAGTCCAGTGGCACGATCTCGGCTCGATCAGTTCTCCTGTCTCAGCCTCCCAAGTAGTTGGGATTACAGGCGTGTTGTCTCAGCCTCCCAGGTAGCTGGGATTACAGGCGCGCACCACCACGCCTAGCTAATTTTTGTAGAGACGAGGTTTCACCATGTTGGCCGGGCTGGTCTCAAACTCCTGACCTCAAGTGATCCGCCCACCTCTGCCTCCCAAAGTGCTGGGATCACAGGTGTGAGCCACCGTCCCCAGGTTCTCCTCTCCTCCTCTCACTCCCCATGTCCGTCTATCTGCAGATTCTGGTGGTTGTACTTTCAGAGTCTATTCACCCACTTCTCCCCATCGCGCCACTGCCTGCACCAGCCTCAGGCCCCTCGTCCCTCACCCGGGTGCTGCCATAGCTCCTGGCTGGGCAGCTTGTTTTCACTCCACCACCACAGTCTTTTCTCTCCATAGTAGTGCCCCTCCCAGCACGCGCCCAGAGCCGAGAAACTTGTGACGTGTGATGAATACCTCACCCAGGCGGGTGTCTGCTGGGGCCATGGGGCTGCACTCGGTCCCTCCAATGATGCTGTTTTGCTCTTGCTCCGCACTCTCTTGGGGACGCATCCTCTCCAGCACTTTCCTCCCAGCCTCTCTAAGGACTGCCTGCCTGCCTCTGTCTCCCAAGAGGGCCCAGTCCTAATGCTTCCTCCTCTGCTGTCCCCAGGGCCCAGGCTTCTGCCTGCCTGTTTCCCCTCCCACTTCGTCTCTGTTTTGGGGGAGCCTGATATTGTTCTGGTTTTGGAAGGGGATCCGCACTTATTTTCAGCACTGGCAGCAGTGGGGTCTCCTCTGCCCCCAGGAGCACGTGTCTTAGGAAGTATTCAAGAGGGCCCTTCCTGGTGTTATTCCTTCTTTTCTGGGGCCTCTAGAGAGGAAATGAACCTTACAAAGCTCCTACAAGGCACTGCTCTGCTCTGGGTACTTGCTCTAATTCTCCCATCAGCCCCAGAGGGGATGTTAATTTGTACAGAGGACCAATCTGAGGCTCAGAGAGGCTGTCACTTGCCTGACGCCACCCAGCATAAGCAGCAGGCCTTGGATCTGAATCGGCAGGTCTGTATGACTCCTTAGTGTCTGAAGTCTCTTCCTGATCAGGAGCCTTTTCTGTTCTGCTTTGGTGGCATCCAGGACTGGGCCTCAGATTCCCAACCTGACAGTTTTCTGGTAGGAGCCTTGGACTTGTGGCAGTACACAGGTGCAAGGGGCTGTGTGGCTAGCAGTCCCTGGAGTTGTGCAGTACGCAGCCTAGGCAGCTGGCCGTGTACTGCACATCTCCCAGCGTTCAGAATCTGCCTTGCTTGTCTTGGTTTCTCAGTAGCCCAAGAGTCCCCTTGACAATGGCTCTTAAGTCCTAACTTCAAAGGCGCTCCCCACTGTGCCTCTGAGCACCAGACTTGGGACTCAGTTGTGCTGCCTGATCCTCAGTCACACTGAGGCTGCCCTCCAGGCCTTCCTCCCTGCTGACCTCTCTGCTCGATCCCTCGATCCCTCGGGTCTCTGGGAGTAAATTCTACCCCTTCTTCAGGGCCCACCTCCTGGGGCTGAGAGGCAGCTTGGCCAGGTAGAAAAGAACACAGGTCTGGGAATCAGGAGACCTAGGTTCAAGTTCAGGCTCTGCTGCCGACAACAGTACCCCTTTCTCTTTCTGAGCCTTAGTTTTTCCACTCTGTCGACTGGGGACAGTATGCATAGCCCTGCCTGGTTCCAAGAGGCGATGCTGAGGCTACAGAGCCTGTGGCAGGCAGAGCTGGGAGCCCTGATGCCCTCATGGGTCTGAAGTCTCGTGGTCAGGGGGTCTTCCCACATCAGGACTGGCAAATGGTGGCTCACGGGCCACCCCTGCCCACCTCTGTGCCATGGCTAAACCAGGACGCAGCTTCAGGATCCTTTCTTTTCTTATTGTGCAGTTTGCATAACATGCCACTTTAATGTTGTGTAATTCAGTGTACATTTTTTTCTTTTTTATAATTTACAATTTATTTATTATAGACATGGGGTTTTGCTATATTGTCCAGGCTAGTCTCACACTCCCAGTCTCAAGCGATCCTCTCACCTCAGTCCCCCAAGTAGCTGGGACCACAGGTGCATGCCACCATACCCAGCTAATTTTTGTAGAGCTGCGGTTTTACAATGTTGCCCGGGCTGGTGGTTCCTTTTTATGGCTGAGCAGTTATCCGGTATACGGATATACCATGCTTTGTGTCTATTCATCTTCTGTGCACATTTACGTGAGAATCCCTTTTACCCACGGTGTCCTAACTCAGTGGTCTCTAAACCTTTTTTTTTTTTTTTGAGATGATGTCTTGTTCTGTCACCCAGGCTGGAGTACAAGGGCACAATCAAGGCTCACTGCAACCTCCACTTCCCAGGTTCAAGTGATTCTCCTATCTCAGCCTTCCAGATAGCTGGCATTACAGGCATGCACCATCACGCCCAGCCCATTTTTTGTATGTTTGGTAGAGACAGGGTTTCACCTTGTTGGCCAGGCTGGTCTCGAACTCCTGTCCTAAAGTGATCCACTCACCTTAGTCTCCCAAAGTGCTGGGATTACAGGTGTGATCCACCATGTCCGACCTGCCTTTTTTCTCTTTTTGAGACAAGAGTCTTATTCTATACCCCACACTGGAGTGCACTGGCACTATCTCTGCTCACTGCAACCTCCGCCTCCCGGATTCAAGCGAGTCTCCTGCCTCAACCTCCCGAGTAGCTAGGACTATAGGTGCGCACCACCACACCCAGTTAATTTTTGCGTTTTTAGTAGAGACAGTTTCCACCATGTTGACCAGGATGGTCTTGATCTCTTGACCTCATGATCTGCCCACTTCGGCCTCCCAAAGTGCTGGGATTACAGGTGTGAGCCACTGCACCCAGCCTGGGTGGATCCATTCTTAAGCTCACAGACATGATATTGGCAGGATTCAATCCCTTGTGGATGTTGGACTGAGGGGCTCAGTTCCTTGTGGGCAGTTGGCTGAAGACGTCCCTCAGTTCAGGTCTTTCCAAAGGGTAGCTGAAAACACAGCAGCTTTCAGCAGAGCAAGCAGGGAGTCGGGGAGGGGAGGAAGAGCAAGAAGGAAGTAGAAATCCTTTGTCACTTACTCTCAGAAGTGGTGTCCCATCACTTCTTGCCATATCGTAGGGGGCTCAGGGCAGTCAGATCACGTGTGTAACACGCTTGGGAACATTCAGGGTGCCCTGTATCTGGTAGGATTGTGTCCATTGTTATTTCATATACACACACACTTATACACATTCTCACACACACATAGATAGATTTTTTTTTTTTGAGACAGAGCCTCTCTCTGTCACCCAGGCTGGTGTGCAGTGGCATGATCTTGACTCACTACAACCTCCGCCTCCTGGGCTCAATCCTTCCCCTTATCTTCCCTAGCAGCTGGGACTATAGGCGCACGCCACTATACCTGGCTAATTTTTGTATTTTTAGTAGAGGCGGGTTTTGCCATGTTGCCCAGGCTGGTCTCAAATTCCAGAGCTCAAGTGATCCTCCTGCCTCGGCCTCCCAAAGTGCTAGGATTAGGAGTACAGTGAGCCACCGCACCTGGTCCACTGTTATTTCATTCATCACTCCATCCATTTGACGGGCCTGGGTATGGGTCTGAGACCCTAGGACAGCCCACGGCTCTGCAAAGGGAAGGGGAACACAAGGTGGGGCCAGGCACATTCCAGCATCTGGAGGAGTCAGCCTGGGGGTGGGGCTGGGCGAGTTCAAAGCCCAGGAAGGCCCACCATGGCTCCTTGTTCTTCGGGGGTCAGTCTAGTCCCAGGACATCTTGGTGTCAGGGCCTGGGAGGACATTTGGACCTGGCTGAGGGGTAGTGGAAGGGGGCACATCTGTGGTCAGAGGGTCCTCAGTGCCCGTGGCTAAGAAAGGAAGTGATTGACCCCCACCTGCGCTGTGTGACCCAAGCAAGTTGCCCTCCCTCTCTGGGCACCCCCCTCTGAAATGCCTTGTGGCTCATGGAGGGGCAGGCAGCAAGAGAGGGTGGCAGCCTCCCCATCCCCTGGGTGGTGTCAGGCAAGGGTCTGCCCAGGTCTAAGGCGTGGCCCCCACCCCACAGCTGTTCTCTATAGTGGTGTTCGGCTCCATCGTGAACGAGGGCTACCTCAACAGCGCCTCTGAGGAGGAGGAGTTCTGCATCTACAACCGGAACCCCAACGCCTGCAACTACGGTGTGACCGTGGGTGTGCTCGCCTTCCTCACCTGCCTGCTGTACCTGGCCCTGGACGTGTACTTCCCGCAGATCAGCAGTGTCAAGGACCGCAAGAAAGCCGTCCTGTCCGACATCGGAGTCTCGGGTGAGCCCCGCCCAGCGGGTGCCCCCCACATGGAGTCTGCAGAGGGCTGTCCCGGCCATGGGAGAGGGCCGCCAACCTTCTTCCCATCTTCCAGATGAGGAAATGAGGGTGCAGGCGGGTGAAGAGACAGACTCAGGGTCACATGGCTGGCAACAGGGAGGATGGGACCAGGACAGGGCCTAGGATCCCAAAATAACCCGTGCTGCCCACGGGCAGGGGAGCACGGATGGGATTCTAGTTCCTTCTAGTCTAAGGGACCATAAATGGCGCTGGGCATGTGCCAGCTCTCATGCATTGGCCCGTGCTTCAGTGGTCTCCTCTGTGCCACCTCCCTGGGGCAGCTTCATGAGGACTAAGCAAGGTGGTGACTGGGAGCCCAGTTGGCAACAGGGGCCCTGGAGCCTTACCCTACCCTGCCCTCCCAGCCAGACCTGGGCAGGACCAGGGCCTGGACCTATGGAGTCAACCTGACCTGCTGCCCTTTGCCCTTCAGAAGCAGCCTTTGGCAGAGGGACGCTGACCTCTGCCCCTTGAGTTCCAGGAATCTAATTGGTGGATGATCTCAGCCAGGGGTCAGAACCCTAGGCTTCAGCCTTGCTGTTCTGAGGCTTGGGTCCCTGGACTGGGACCACCCCCTCGTTCTAAGCCTGGAGCTTTCAGGATAAGCCAGGCTGAAGGCAGCCCATGAGGCCTAGTTCTAGAAGGAACTAGAACTAAATGAGTGGTTCTCAAACTTCCACAGAGCCTCAGGGTTCCCTGGCAGTGCCTCTGGAAGGTGGGTTGGCCCCAGGTGGGTGCCCCACCCGCTTGGCAGATGCACACCTTGCCCTGAGCAGGTCTGGGTTTCTCTGGGGAGACCTGGGCACCCACAGGCGATTGTGTGGCTGTGAGGCTCCCGTTCTGACCACCCCAGGCTCAGCTGTCAGTGGGTGCCTTGATAAACCTGGGGCTCTGTGGGGCCGCAACATGTTAGAAGTCGAAGCCCAGCTGGGCATGGTGGCTCACACCTGTAATCCCAGAACTTTGGAAGGCTGAGGTGAGAGGATCACAAAGTCAGGAGTTCGAGACCAGCCTGACCAACATGATGAAAACCTGTCTCTACTAAAAATACAAAAATTAGCCAGGCGTGGTGGTGTGTGCCTATAATCCCAGCTACTCAGGAGGCTGAGGCAGGACCATCGTTTCAACCCTGGAGGTGGAGGTTGCAGGGAGCCGAGATTGCCGCCACTGCACTCCAGCCTGGGTGACAGAGCTAGACTCCGTCTCAAAAAAAAAGAAGTCGAAGCCCAGACCCACCCAGCCAAGCTGCCATCTTTGCCCCAGCCTCGTCCTCCTTCTCACTCCATTTGTCTGAAAGCCTCTAGCAGGGTGGGGTCTGGGGGTTGGGGTCTTCCTGCCTGCAGAGCTGCAGGCATCAGGGGTGGACCAGGGGGCCCACGTCAGGGGTGTGGCTGGAGATGGGGATTTGGCAAAGACTGGAGAAATGCGGCCTGAGTTGATTCCCTTCTCTCTGTCTCTCCCTCCGTCCTCCCCTCTCGCTGCCCGTGGCTCTTCTCTATCTGGCCCTGGCCCTGCCCTATCTGTGGTCCCTTCCTCCCTGCATCTGACTGGCTTCCCTCTTCTCACCTGCACCTTCTTTTGGCTCCCCTCTCTCTTCTCCTACCCCCTTGGCCTCTCCCTTTGGGGGTCGGGGAGCATGGGAGATGCACTCTTGAATGTCCCTGTTTCTCTGCTTTCTCATTTGCTCCCCACTCACCCTCTCCCCCATGTGTGGCACTGCCCATTCTGCCTGGCCCTGGGGACCCCTCCAGCCTTCTGGGCCTTCCTCTGGTTTGTGGGCTTCTGCTTCCTGGCCAACCAGTGGCAGGTCTCCAAGCCCAAGGACAACCCGCTGAACGAAGGGACGGACGCAGCCCGGGCCGCCATCGCCTTCTCCTTTTTCTCCATCTTCACCTGGGTGAGTACAGCTACCACCCACCAAGCCCACACTCGCCCCCTTTCCCGACTGAACTCCCGGACTAGTGGCCTTGCGCTAGCCCGGGGCCTGCTTTGCCTCTGGAAGCCCACACCACCCTCGCTCCCTCTTCTGCCTGCCTGTCTCTGCGGCACTCACAGCCATGCTCCCTCAGCAAGGAGGCTGTGGCCCTTGGGGGCAGCACAGTCACTAGAGATGGCAGACCCTCACTCTGGGTGGATGGTGTTTATCATCCCCTTTCACAGATGAGAAAGCAGAGGCCTGGACAGGAAGGTGAGGCTTGCAGGGTTTGAGGCTGGGAGGGAGCCCTGCCTAGGAGTCAGGAGACCTAGTTCCCATTGGAGCTGCCTCTAATTTTCCTAGCCTCTGTCTTCCCATCTGTAAAATGAAGGGATAGGATCTGGGGGAGACAGGTGTCGACGCCAGGTTCGAGTGGGCCAGGCAGGGCCAGAGAGCCATGAGCGAGCCGGGTGGTACATGCGTGCCTGTCCTCCGTGCGGAGATTCAAGGAGTTTGGCTGCCAAGCAGGAATGGGGACCAAGAGAAGGCAGAAGTCTGAATTTTTACATGAAATCGGATCTTGATATGTTGGAAGTTTATTCAAGTTTAAGCAATATGTTGTGTGTGTCAAACAAAGCATGTCTCTGAGCCCAGCTGGCCAGAGACCCCTTTTTTGCAGGCCCTGGGCTGTCAGGCTAGAGCACCAGCAGTGCAACAGCTCGGCTGGGCCCTCTTTCCCACTGGTCTGGGTCATCTGTGTTTCTTCTCTCCTAATCACCCTTCTGCAGAGATCTAGGGTCACATCAGCTCCATAGCCCCATCCCAAGAGCTCCCTGGTGACCCACAGCTGCCTCCCCTCCGGGCCAGCCAGCAGCAGTTCTGGGTCCAGCCTCCTGCACCGAGACCCTTGAGGCTACGTACAGGCGGGCAGCCCTCCCTGTTTCCCCCATCCTCCGGGGCCTGCCCTGGAATGAGTTCTTTCTGTTTTTGAGGGCCCCTGAATATTCATTTTTTGGGAGGTACACCCATCTCCCCAACAATATTGGAAGTGAGCGTTCGGAGGGGGAGACCCATGGTTCAGGCCCTAGTGGGCCAACCACGGCTGCTGCAGCCCTCAGTGTCCTCGACTGGGAAGGAAGAACCAGGTGACCCCAGGGATCTCAGTCCAGAGAAGGTGCCCCAGGACTGGGGACCACCCAGCCTACAGGGAGGAGTTCAGGGGCGGGGCTCACAGAGGAGTAGTGGGTGATTTCTAGCCGTGGGTGTGAAGTACCTGACCGACAGGTGCCTGCCCAGCCTCCCTCCTGGCACCTCTCCAGCTCTTCACCACTGGCCTCACCCCAGCTCTCTCCTGGCAGAGCCTGACCGCAGCCCTGGCCGTGCGGAGATTCAAGGACCTAAGCTTCCAGGAGGAGTACAGCACACTGTTCCCCACCTCGGCACAGCCGTAGTTAGAGGCCGGCAGCCCTGTATCACCCCTGGCGGGGAGGTTGCAGGAGCAGCCTAGTGCCAGCCGTGCCCAGGATGCCAGAGCATGCAGGGCAGTGGAAGGCTGGCAGGAGGAACCGAATCAGGTTCTCCACTGACTCATTCATTCCTTCACTGCCTCCTTCATTTATTCTCCATGCGTTCATTCATTCAGTAAACATTTATTGAGCAGCTGTTTTGTGCCTAGTGATGAATCAGGTGGGGTCCTTGGCTCCAGGAGCCCACAGGTCAGGGAGAAGAAGACAAACACTTCAAAATCTCTTCCAAATGGACAGCCATGGGCAGTTACCAGGTTGGAGGTGGCCCCAAACACAGGCTGCCCGGAGGCGTTCATGACCCCCGTTGCTGAGCTGTGGGTGCAGAGCAATAGCCTCTCTCTTCAAGGTGGTGTGAAGAGTGACTGTCCCCCTGGTGAGCGGCCTGGCCTAGGATATCAGAAGACTCCTGGTCTGGCTCTGTTCTCATGTGCTGTGTGACCCTGACAAACCCCTGCTCCTCTCTGAGCCTCAGTCCACTTACCTGGACTGTGAGTAATAATGGACAAACCTCTCAAGGCCATGTGCCAGTGAAACAAAGGCCAGCACAGGGCTGAGCACAAGCACGCTCAATAAATGTAAGCTCTTTTGTTCATTCACCATTCATTCATTCATTCATTCATTCACTCTTCTCTTCTCCAGAGAGTCAGGGGCACCTCCAGAATCTCTTCTTTGAGAGTGATTCTCATGTGATGAATCTTTTTACCTCCAAAGGATTTTGGTCTCTGATTCTACACAGGTTTCCTCCCTGGGGCCCCCAGCTGCCTGGGCAGGAACTCACACATTCCTCCACTCTCTGCAGGATTTAAGGAGGCTGGTGGAGCACAGACAGTTCCCCAAAGCAATGCCTCAGCCCTGCCAGGACCTGAGCACACGGATTGTGAGCTTCCCGACACTGGGGGCATCTCAGTGCAGACACAGACTGCCTGTTGCACGCTGGAGATGCTGCAGAGAGGGCGTCTGCTCTGAGACAGTGGGGCCAGGGGACCTCCAGGTCCCTGGACTCTCAGCACGACTCCCATCCTGCCTCTGTAGCCCAGGACAGCCTCTCCTTTGCTCCTGTCTGTGGCCCCTTAAACTGGTTACCCAAATGAAGCCTTGACTTAGTGACCACAGAGGTAGTATGAGTGCCTGCAGCCCCAGTATATGTTGGAGATCTAACGTACATTGACTAGCCAAGGCTCCGCCAAGTCAGATGATCCTAAAAGGGTCAGTAGGGGTCATCTGCCCCAGCCCTCTGCCTCTGTACAGGAAACCAGCCTGGATAGTAGAGCCAGGGAGCTCGGGGAGAACCGAGTCTACAGACATTGCTGTCAAGGTTCATTCAGTCAGGCCCTATGGGTTGGCCAAGGCTCAAGGGTATTCTCGGGAAGGAAGCTCTTCACCTCCCTGCTTCTACAGGCTCCAGCGTCTGAGCGTCCAACAGCCAGGACCCCATACCAACATAGTGGGAAACCCCAGAGGGCCACACCTCATCCCTTAGCCTGACTTCTTTAGACCTGATATGCCTTTTTTCCCAAGGCACTGGCACTTTGCTTTAAATCCCCACCTCCCAGAAAGGGCTGCCCCTCAGAGCTTTGGTCAGTGAGTGCGGTCAAAAGATAATCCCCTAGCCAGGCATGGTGGCTCACGCCTGTAATCCCAGCACTTTGGGAGACCGAGGTGGGCAGATCACCTGCGGTCAAGAGTTCGAGACCAGCCTGGCCAACTTGGTGAAACCCCCGTCTCTACTAAAAATACAAAAATTAGCTGGGCATGGTGGCAGATGCCTATGATCCCAGCTACTCGGGAGGTTAAGGCAGGAAAATCACTTGAACCCAGGAGGCAGAGGTTGCAACGAGCTGAGATTGTGCCACTGCACCCCAACCTGGGCAACAGAGCGAGATTCCGTCTCAAAAGAAAAAAAAAGGGAATGCCCAGTCACTGGGCTTCTGGAACTTTGTGGAATAAAACACCAGACATATTGACTCCCTACCCCTTCACTAAGTGGCCCTTTTAGGTTGCTCGTTGACTAAGTGCCTTGTCAGGGGCCAAAGGGAAGGAGTTGAGGGCACCCTGACCTGGGAAGGGGTAGGACTCCTCCATGTTTAGGGAAGGGGTAGGACTCCATGTTCAGGGATGGGTTCTAGCAGTAACTCTGCTATGGCGCTTCCTTTTCTAGGCTCAGTCTTCCCAGCCCTAAACAGGGGTCTGGAGAGTATCAGCATGTTCCCAACACAGGCAGATTTCCTGGGCCAGGAAGGTTTCTGGAGAAGGCTTTTGCAATAAACCTCTAAGCTGTTTTTCTAACGACAAGTTTGATTTACTTAAACTTGGACTTAGCTCAGTGTGGTCAGTGTCATTATCCTTAACAACAACATAATTGCTCTTATTGAAAAATAACTTCCTAACCATGCATGTGTGCTGTGGACAAGTCTTTCTCCATCTGAGATCTGTGAAAAAAAAGGGGCTTCAGGCTTCAGGGGTGACTTATGCCTACAATCCCAGCACTTTGGGAGGCCAAGGCAAGTGGATCACGAGGTCAGGAGTTCAGGATCAGCCTGGCCAAGATGGTGAAACCCCGTCTCTACTAAAAATACAAATATTAGCCAGGCGTGGTGGCCGGTGCCTGTAATCCCAGCTACAACTGGGATTACAATACCAGGCGGTGAGGGCAGAGAATTGCTTGAACCCTAGAGGCGGAAGTTGCAGTGAGCCAAGATCACGCCATAGCACTCCAGCCTGGGCAATAGAGCAAAACTCCATCTCATAAAAAAACAAAACCAAACCGGGGAGGCTTCAGCGGTCAGGCAAGGTTGGCCAGTGTTGCTTGCCACAGTTCCCCCTTGGGGATCCAACACACATTGAATAGTCAACGCTCTGCCAAGTCAAATGATCCCGAAACTTGTTTCACTCTGTTTAACTCAGTTTCTCACTTAGAATCAGGTTCAGCAGCAGGTAACAGAAATCCCAAATAACAGTGATTTCAGCCAGGTGCCATGGCTCACACCTGTAATCCCAGCACTTTGGGAGGCCAAGGCGGGCAGATCACCTGAGTTCGGGAGTTCGAGACCAGCCTGACCAACAAGGAGAAACTCCTGTCTCTACTAAAAATACAAAATTAGCCAGGCACGGTGGTGCATGCCTGCAATCCCAGCTACTAGGGAAGCTGAGGCAGGACAATCACTTGAACCCAGGAGGCGGAGGTTGTGGTGAGCCGAGATCAAACCATTGCACTCCAGCCTGGGCAACAAGAGCAAAACTCTGTCTCAAAAACAAACAAACAAAACAGTGATTTCAGCGAAATCCAAGGCTGTGGAGGTGGTCCAGGGCTGGCATGGTGGCTCCTGAGGTCTTCAGTGACCCAAGCATCTTTCTTTTTTTTAAGAGACAGGGTCTCATTCTGTTGCCCAGGCTGGATCATAGTTCACTGCAGCCTCCAACTCGGCCTCAGACAATCCTCCCACCGCAGCCTCCTGAGTAGCTGGGACTACAGGGAAGCACCACTATGCCTGGCTAATTTTTTGTGTGAGGTTTTTTTGTTGTTGTTATTGTTGTTTTAGCGATGGGGTCTTGTTATGTTGTCCAGGCTTGTCTTTCTTTTTTTTTTTTGAGACAGAGTCTCACTTTGTTGCCCAGGCTGGAATGTGGTGATGCAATATTGGTTCACTGCAACCTCCGCCTCCTGGGTTCAAACAATTCTCCTGCCTCACCTCCTGAGTAGCTGGGATTACAGGCGAGCACCACCATGCCTGGCTAATTTTTTAATTTTTAGTAGAGACAGGGGTTTCATCATGTTGGCCAGGCTTATCTCGAACTCCTGACCTCAAGTGATCTGCCCGCCTTGGCTTCCCAAAGTGCTGGGATTACAGGCATAAGCCACCACACCCAGCCTCTCCTGCTTTCGAGAAGGAGGTCAGATTGTTCTTGTGCCTGCTGTTTTCCAAGTGCCTTTAACTCAGCATGGTCAATATGCCAGAGTGACATATTTTATCCCAGGCTGGTCTTGATCTCCTGGCCTCAAGCCACCGTGAGCCACCATGCCTGCAATGATGGTTACACCATGATGCACCCAGGCATCCTTCATTCCTACAGTTTGTCTTCTGGTCTCTGTGGTTCCCTTTTAGCAACTCGAGCTCCAGCCATCACATCTGCATTCCAGGCATCAGGTCAGAGGGTGGGACAAAGAACACGAGGGTACTCCATTGGCCGAAATGTAGTTAAATGGCCTTGCCTAGTTGCAAGAGAGACAAAAGAATGGCTCTTAGAAGATCCTAACAGTCCTTTGTCCTGTTGAGACACTGTTTTTAAGGAGGCTGCTGTTGGACTTTGGGCCATTTTAACACAACATAATGACGATCTAGAGCTTTTAGTAGCCCAGATTGACCTCTGGGATTGGAAGACAGGGGCAGGTGGCTTCGGAGATTCTTTCTGGCTGGACGATCTCCAGGGGTGACTGTGAGAGCAGCCTTCCTTCTCCACAGCCAAGCTGAGTCTCAGTCTTGTGTTCAGTACTGTGAGGATCTTCAACCCTCTCCTGCCTATGTCCTGTGAACTAACCACCACTAACCCAGTGCTCTTGTCTGTCTCTCCCCTAACCACCCCCTCCCGCCTGTCCTTGTCCCTGCCGGCCCTCGTGCCCAGGCGGGCCAGGCCGTGCTGGCCTTCCAGCGGTACCAGATTGGCGCCGACTCGGCCCTCTTCTCCCAGGACTACATGGACCCCAGCCAGGACTCCAGCATGCCTTACGCGCCCTACGTGGAGCCCAACACCGGGCCGGATCCTGCCGGTATGGGCGGCACCTACCAGCAGCCGGCCAACGCCTTCGACACCGAGCCTCAGGGCTACCAGTCGCAGGGCTACTGAGCCACAGTGACCGCCTGCCCCTGCCCCTCCCCCATCTGTCCCCTCCCTCCACACCCAGCCCCTGTTCCCTCCCAGGCTGCCCTGCCCAGCACCTCATCAGCCTCTGCCTTGTCCCACTGAGGTCCAGGGTAGCTCAGGGCAGGGGTGGGGCCGTCCAGTGCTGGGGGTGTCTACATGTGTGTGCAAGTATGTCCCAGGGCATGTGACCCACAGAGCCCTAGTGGGTGGGGGCCAGGGGTGTTTGCATTCATACATTGTGTCATCAGCATTCCTTGAGCACCTACTGTGCATCCAGCCTGTGCCGGGCATGGGTGGTAAAATTGGCAGAGATGGCCTCTGGAAAGGGGAGAGATGAGCGGTGGAGGAAGTCCTGGTGGTCCCAGAGGCTGGAACAGTGGGGAAGACAGCCCCAGATAATGCTGGGAAGTTTGGCTACACTGTGGCTTGGTCATAGGGCGAATGTGAACAACCACAGGACACTGGGGGCTGTCACCCCACTCCAGCAGTCCTGCTAAGAGTGTCAGGACGGTCTCGATTTTATGGTTGAGGAAACTGAGGTCTGGAGAGGTCAAGATCCCTTGCCCAGAGTCACTCAGGCAGCTAGTGATAGAGGTGGGGCCGAGCCCAGGCTGCCCAACTGCAGACCACATGCTTGTCCCTGGCCACCCACTTCCCCCCATCCCCATGCTTGGGGCTTCCCAGCTCAGTGTTACTGTCATTCTGGGAGGCCTTGGGGCCCTCAGCCCCTTGAGACACCCTGATTCTGCTGCAAGCCAAGGGCCTGTTCTACCCAAGCTGTTCCTCCCCTTCGCCGGGGACACCCCCACTTCCAGATCCCTCCACCCACATCCCCCTGGCCCTACCCCTGGCCCTTGGCCTCCTCTGAGAGGGCTCGCCCTGGTGCTGCTCTGTGCTCTGAGTGTCCCACTGGCGCTCGTTCCAGGGAGCTCCATCAACCCCCTTCGTGGTCTCAAAGGACTGATCACTGTCCTTTCCTCTAGAAGGGCTCACGAAGCCCTTGCCTAGGGCTGGTGGATGAGGAGGCCCAGATGAGGGCGTGACTGGCCCAAGGTCATGGTGAGTAAGTGGCAAAGCTGGGCCTGATGCCCGGGTTTCTTGGCCTCAGCTACCCAGCAGGTGCCTTGATTCCCTGCCCTTGTGACCTCCCAGGAAACAGAACTGATCTGGGACACTGTGTCACCTCTCCTCTCACCTGGGGTCAATCAGGGTTCAGGGGCTAGAGCAGCCAAAGGCATGAGAGGTGTTTCCTTGGCCTTCCGGAAGACCCTCTGTAGAGCCAGCCTCCCTGTGGGAGGCAGAGCAGCAAGGACAGGGGCTTTGGAATCAGCAAGTCAGCTCCTGGGCTGCAGCCATGGAGAGGCACTGCCTCCAGGACGACACAGGCAAGAGCCCCTGAGGCATGGGAGGCCCAGAGAAGACCATGGGCTGTAGGGGAGAGGGTGGCAGGTGACCCCAAGGCATGAAGAGGGTCGTGGGGCCTGAGGAGGTCATAATCTCTTCTGAGTGGGGGCAGGTAGATTCTTGAATAAGGTGGGCTCTTCAGTGAGCCGTAAGGGACCGGGAGAGAGGTGTGGGAGAGCACTGGGGGCCCATCCTCCCATCCACCCAGTGTCCACTGGCCTGTCCCCCGGGGAGCAGAGCAGGTGGTGGACAAGCCCAGTGCTGGGCGTCTCTACCACCATCCCCCCATCCCTGCTCCAAGAACCCTCCAAGGCGATCCCTTACCTGCTCACTCATTCAGCAGTTATCCCGCACCTGTCCTGGGGATACCAAGAGTGTGGGTGATTCCTGTTTCCATATCCCTAAGGTCAGGCTGGAAGTCCTAATCAGAGAAGTAGCATCATTGTCCCCATTTAACAGAGGGGAAACAGGCTCCGCGAACATAAGCGAGCTGGCAGTGGAACACAGATCTAAACTCGGGTCTGTCCAAGACCTCCCAAGGGACAGCAGTGATGGAGAGGACCCCAGGCAGCTGAGTGATAGCTACTTGTTGCTGACGTCATTTTCCAATCCAAGGAAGGGACCCTGTCCACAGTGGCCCAAATGGGACCAGCATGGGGGCAGGTTATCTGCTGGCCTGAAGAGTGAAACCTATACCAGGCCAAAGGCGAAGGTGTGAGTGGGTGCAGGAGTGTTTATGGCAAAGTGAAGTTCTGTGCCCCCTACAAGAGGCTGTGAGATGTTCTGACCCTCACCCACTCTCCACCAAAAGCGTCCCCTGCTGGTGGGTACTTGGAGATCTCAGGGTGCTGCCCATCTGTTTCTCCCTGGGCGCCAGCCAGCTGCTGGCAATCCTTGGCTGGAGGGCAGGGCACGAGGTAAGCTTGACTCCATCCTGGCTGTTTGTTACAGACTCTGCCTGCCACCCTAGGCAGGGAAAGTTGCCAAGACTCCTGCCAGGAATGGGGGGTGCTGAGTCATCTCACAAAGAATCCCTCACTATTCCCAGGTACAGCCCAGAAGCACTCCCCGGCATGATCTATCCCCATCAGGCTGGGCTCTGGCAGAAACCTGCCCAGGAAGGAGATGAGAGAGGGCGAGAGATGGAGGGCGGGATTTGGATGGGACCCAGGGCTCCTGACTCTGCCCTGGAAGGTTCATGGGGAAGCTCTTGCCTTCTGTTGGCAGAGGATAGCCCCTGGAGGACCCCAGGCCCAACTCTGTCTTGTATCCCTTTTTCCTCTAAGCTGCCCTCCCCTACTTCTCCCTTGCTCCCAAAGCTCTCCTTGGAGAAGGGCCTTCCTGCAGCCGGACCCTGCAGGGTGGCTTCCTCCTCCCCATCAAGCACAAGAGAGGGCCCAGGAAAAAAGCTTTGACATAAGCGTAGAGCTGCAAGGACCCTTAGAGTTGGCAGAGTCTGGGGCAGGTTTGTCCAAGGTCAAGTGGAGAGTGAGAGCTTCAGGAGCCAGGTCTTCTGCTTTCTGAGTTGACTCATCCTGGGTTGTTACAGACTGTCCTGCCTGCACGGCTCCTGATCCAGTCCACCTGAGGGTGTCTCAATGGAGAGGCTAATTCCCAGGGGACAGACATTAGTTCCCCACTCCATCCTTCCCTGGTGATTCTTGATCTTCAAAGCCTCAGGGGTCCCAGGTTTCTCCATGTCACTGAGAGCCCCTGCCTGTTAGCCCTGGGGGACCCCTGACCTTGGCCCGAGACCCCTTTGATTCTCTAAGGAGCAGAAAAGGGGAAACGCCCCTCCCAGGAGTTTATGGGAGGAGAGACTGGGCCGGCTGCCTCCCAGCGATGCCCTTGGCCTGACACTCCCTATACCCTGGTGTGCACAGCCCTTGTTGGTGCCCCGGCCCCCTCCCGCAGCGTTACTGCCTGTGTATAGTATAAATATATATATTTTCTATATATAAGATGTATAATATAAGGCTCCACAAATATATCTGTGTGTGTGCGTGTGTGTGCGGTGAAGGGCGGTCCCCATCCTGGGCCCCCACTCTCGGCCCCCCCCACCACCTGGTTAAGTCTCGAGTGAATCCACTGGCCCCGTGGCACCCTCCTTTATGACATCCATCCATCCGTGGTGAACCAAGTGAAGGTGGTGACTTCTGGTGACATCGTAGTGACATCGTAATAAAGTGAAGACTCAGAACCCCCCAGCGATTGCCAGCGTGTCACGGTGCTTCTTTGTTCTTCATTCTGCATTTGGCTTGGGTGGTCCATCCCGTTTGTCTCCCCAGACAGGCCATTGTTAATTTTTCATTACACAATGAACCTATCAATATATTATCTTTTTAAAAAGTAAAATCGGCTGGGCACAGTGGCTCACATCTGTAATCCCAACACTTTGGGAGGCCGAGGTGAGTGGATCACCTGAGGTTAGGAGTTCAAGACCAGCCTGATTGACATGGTGAAACCCTGTTTCTACTAAAAATACAAAAAAATTACTCGGGCATGGGTGCATACCTGTAATCCCAGCTACTTGGGAGGCTGAGGCAGGAGAATCGCTTGAACCTGGGAGGCAGAGGTTGCAGTGAGCTGAGTTCGTGCCATTGCACTCCAGCCTGGGCATCAAGGGCAAAATTCGTCTTAAAAAAGAAAAAAAAAAAAAGGAAAATCATTACAGTTGAAGCCAGAGTCCCTCACCTGACATGTGCACATGTCCACAGGCACACCCCATCACCATTTCCTATCCGAGTCCCTTCCCCAACCCGCAGGAGAAACAAGATTAGGTGCTTAGCCTCATTCCTTCCAGACCATTTCCATGCTTTTACATACACATGTTTTTACAAGACAGTTTTTAAATGTACTGGCCCTCCCCTGGGCGCCATGGCTCACACCTGGAATCCCAGCACTTTGAGAGGCCAAAGTGGGAGGATTGCTTGAGCCTAGGAGTTTGAGACCAGCCTGGTCAACATAGTGAGACCCGGTGTCTAAACAAAACAAAAATTAAGCCGGGCACAGTGGCTCATGCCTGTAATCCCAGCACTTTGGGGGCCGAGGCAGGCGGATCACCTTAGGTCAGGAGTTCGAGGCCAGCCTGGCCAACATGGTTAAAACCCCGTCTCAACTAAAAATACAAAAAAATTAGCTGGGCATGGTTGCGGACGCCTGTAATCCCAGCACTTTGGGAGGCAGGTAGATCACAGGAGTCCAGAATTTCGAGAACAGCGTCTCTACTAAAAATACAAAAATTAGCTAGGCATGGTGGCCCGAGCCTGCAGTCCCAGCTACTTGGGAGGCCAAGTGGAGAAGATCTCTTGAGACCAAGAAGTGGAGGCTGCAGTGAGCTGTGATCTAGCCTGGGTGACTGAGTGAGATCCTGTCTCAAAATAAATAAATAAATAAATAAATAAATAAATAAATGTTGGCCAGGCATGGTGGCTCAGGCCTGTAATCCCAGCACTTGGGAGGCCGAGGCGGGCAGATTGCTTGAGACCCAGAATTTGAGAACAGCATGGCCAACATGGCGAAACCCCATCTCCACTTAAAATATTTTAAAAATGTAGTAGGGCATGGTGGCACATTCCTGTATTTCCAGCTACTCGGGAGGCTGAGGCAGGAGTATAGCTTGGACCCAGGAGATGGAAGTTGCAGTGAGCCAAGATCACACCACTGCACTCCAGCCTGGGCAACAGAGAGAGACTCGGTCCCAAAAAATAATAATAAATAAATAAATAAGTACTAAAATATAAAGCATTTTACTTTCAAAATAGTACATATAAAATGTAATCAGAGTAAGAGTAACACATGAGTAATATCATAAATTTAAGATTATAAAAAATAATATTTTGGGGCCTGGTGCAGTGGCTCATGCCTGTAATCCCAGCACTTTGGGAGACTAAGGTGGGTGGATCACCTGAGGTCTGGAGTTCATGACCAGCCTGGCCAAAATGGTGAAACTCTGTTTCTACTAAAAATACAAAAAATAGCCAGGTGTGGTGGTGGGCACCTGTAATCCCAGCTACTTGGGAGGCTGAGGCAGGAGAATCACTTAAACCTGGGAGGTGGAGGTGGCAGTGAGCCGAAATCGCCATTGCATTCCAGCCTGGGTGACAAGAGCAAGACTCCCTCTCAAAAATAATAATAATAATAATAATATTTTGGTGTCTTTTTTTTTTTTTCTGAGACAGAGTTTTGCTGTTGTTACCCAGGCTGGAGTGCAATGGCTCAATCTCAGCTCACCGCAATCTCCGCCTCCTGGGTTCAAGTAATTCTCCTGCCTCAGCCTCCCAAGTAGCTGGGACTACAGGCGTGTGCACCACCATGCCCAGCTAATTTTTGTATTTTTAGTAGAGACGGGGTTTCACCATGTTGACCAGGATGGTCTCGAACTCTTGACCTCGTGATCCATCCACCTCGGCCTCCCAAAGTGCTGGGATTATAGGCGTGAGCCACCGCGCCCGGCCTTGGTGTCATTTAATATAAGACAAAAATAATAATGCCTTACGAATACGATTTCTTGATTGGTCATATGATTTTTTGGCTCTTTTTTTTTTTGCAAGTTCATTTATTAGGTTTTAAAATTTATACTTGTGACAACTTCATTTTCCATTAAAAACTACAATAGCCACTTTTGGCAAAGGCAAGATTACAAATAATTTTTTGTACTTTTTATTTTGAAAAGGCTTCTTCTTCCTGCCAAGGCAATGGTTACTGTAGGTGCTAGGAGTATTTTATATGCTGTCACATTAGGAGAAATTCATGATTTTAAAGAATTTTTAAAAAGATTTAACTCAATAAAAAATATGGAACTCTTCATATTGGCCAGGCACAGCGGCTCACACCTGTAATCCCAGCATTTTGGGAGGCCGAGGTGGGTGGACCTGAGGTCAGGAGTTCAAGACCAGCCTTGCCAACATGGCAGATCCTTCTCTACTAAAAATACAAAAATTACCTGGGTGTGGTGGTACATGCCTGTAATCCCAGTTACTCAGGAGACTGAGGCAAGAGAATCGCTTGAACCCAGGAGGCAGAGGTTGCAGTGAGCCAAGATCGTGCCACTGCACTCCAGTGTGACTCCAGGGGATGATAGAGTGAGACTCCATCTCAAAAAAAAAAAAAAAAAAAAAGACTTAACTCTTCATATAAATCAGTCTCATATGTCTGATTTAATTTTAAATGTAAACTTATACAATGTTTTAATGTTTTCTTTGACATTTTCTATAACTTGTGAAGGTTGTACAAGAAACTGAAAGTGACCTCATGATTTCTATATAATTTTAATGATCTGTTTATGCATTTGATTGCTGGGTCTTCTATTACAAGGAAAATTTAGTTTTAAAATTGCCTTCATAGTGAATAAGCTTCACATAAAATAGAATTATTTTCTGTAGAATGTGATGATCTATGCATTTAATTTCTAAGACTGGACATTTGCAATATTACAGCAGGCTTTGTTGTTTGCTTTTGTTTGTTGAGACTGTTGTCCAGGCTAGAGTGAAGTGGCGTGATCTCGGCTCACTGCAACCTCCCCCTCCCAGGTTTAAGCGATTCTCATGCCTCAGCCTCCCAAGTACTAGGATTACAAGCATGAGCCACTGTGCCTGGCCTATATCAACTTTCAAAACCAGAGATTCTTTTTCTTTTCCCTAACATCCCCATGGATGCCAGGGAGAAAACCAAAATTCCAAACTCTTTGAAGAATCCTCATGGCTCCCTGAGACGCTCTATTTCAGCATCCACGCGTGTGTTTCCATGTTGTAATAACTTTCTGACAAGGCTTACTGCCTGACTGCTGGCAGGACCTGTCCCGGCATTTAGGCTGGCGAGCTATATTTGTGCAGATGCTACAGGGACAGGCTGTTCCACGTGGAGTCTCTTCTCCCACCACCGAGTCAGTGATGGCATGGAGCCGTGACACCCCCACCAGTTTCTTCTGCTGCCACCACCAATCTGGGCACAGATCCTGGCCCCCGCTGTCCCCACACAGCCCCACAGTGTCGCAAACTGCCCAGCCATGTGGGTGCACAGAGGGTGGCCAGGCCAATTGCTAGGCAACTCCACGGCCCACTGCCTGTCATCCTTGCCGGTCTGAGCCTGCTCACGCAGATGCCTTTTTGTCCCACTGGACTTCCTTTATAAAACACAAGTTCCAAAATAAAATGATGAAGAATTTCAAGGTGGCGAAATGAAAACAGAAATTAATGCAGAGCATTAAACCAAATGCTAGGCCTATTCCAAGAGCAGGGCCCTGTGTGACTACATGAGTCCCACGCCCATGAGTGCAGCCCGGCTCAGCACACTGATCCTGGCCCCTCTCCATCTTTCCTTTGTTTTATTCTGTATCTTTTCCCTTCTTCTTCTAGTCTCCTTGTCTATTAGATAGCTACACTTGACTATGGGTCCGAGCTATGCTGAGTACTTTGCAAAGCATTGTCTAGTTCACTTCTTTCTTTCTCTCTCTCTTTTTTTTGTTTGAGATGGAGTCTCACTCTGTCGCAAGGCTAGAGTGCAGTGGCATGACCTCAGCTCATTGCAACTTCCACCTCCCAGGTTCAAGCAATTCTCCTGCCTCAGCCTCCCAAGTAACTAGGAGTACAGGCATGCACCACCACACCCAGCTATTTTTTGTACTTTTAGTAGAGACGGGGTTTCACCATGTTGGCCAGCATGGTCTCGATCTCCTGACTTCGTGATCCTCCTGCCTCTGCCTCTCAAAGTGCTGGAATTACAGATGTGAGCTGCCACACCCGGCTGTATTTTATTGTTGTTGTTGTTATTTTGAGACCTCAGGTGATCTGTCCCCGTCAACCTCCCAATGTTTTGGAATTACAGGCATGAGCCACCTCACCTGGCTTTGTTCCCTTTTTTCAACACCTGTGATAGGGGCACTAAGATGCTTCCACTTTACAGATGAGGAGCTGAGCCAGAGAGGAGAAATGGCTCAGCACAGTTATACCTGGGCAGGGCCTGACTTGACCAGTAGTGTGTCCAGCTTTAAAACCCATGGTCTGGGCTGGGCTCAGTGGCTCTCACCTGTAATCCCAGCACTTTGGGATGCCGAGGCAGGAGGATCATGAGGTCAGGAGTTCAAGACCTGGCCAAGATGGTGAAACCCCGTCTCTACTGAAAATACAGAAACTAGCCAGGCATGGTAGCAGGCGCCTATAATCCCAGCTACTTGGGAGACTGAGGCAGAGAATTGCTTGAACCTGGGAGGT